GGAAAACAACGTCCCCAGATTTTACCTGAACGTCCTCATTTCTAACTTATATTTGGGGCGCTGTTTATCACTTTGTCTCCCAAACCATCTTCAAGCTTTCTTTCCTGTAACAGTTTAACAGCACTTTCAACAAAAGTGTATCAAATGAGTGCCAAAGATTAGAAGATTTGCAGTGCTACACAGAGAGTAAACACAAAGAAAAGAAAGAGGGGAGATATGGACGATACAATATGTTTCATATGGGGAAAAAGGGAACAAACCACACAAGAGCACCGGAAACCACCCTCAACGCCCAGGGACTGCCCAGTTTGTCACAGGCCCAGTTAGTCACAGGCCCACTATGAATTTAATTTAATTTTTCAATTTTCTTTAACGAAAGAAAATTCATTGTTGAAACTTTACAGAGTAATTTAAATTCGCTTTGATTTGCATACAAAAAGGAAGAAATATTGAACAACACAAACTGAATCGGCATTTTAGAGGGACTTTAGGGCCTGAGACTAACTGGCATGCCTCCAAACGCTCGACACCGAGGATACCGGAACTAAAGCTCTCTAAAGATTTATTTTGGTAGCCTCGCTCGACACCCATGAAGATCATCCCCAGTGACTTTTGGCGCTAAAGACCGTCACACGAAAACTCGGCCTCGACTTGACATCCTGTCCAAAGGATCGAAAGGTCAGAAACCTGGCCTGCCTTAACCGCGCGCCCCGACCTTGGTCTGATAAGAGAAGCGCGGGCACACACACACACACACACACACACACACACACACACACACACACACACACACACACACAGAGAGAGAGAGAGAGAGAGAGAGAGAGAGAGAGAGAGAGAGAGAGAGAGAGAGAGAGAGAGAGAGAGAGAGAGAGAGAGAGAGAGAGAGAGAGAGAGATTACAGGACAGTTATGTATACATGTCATGTAACAAGAAAGTGTTCGTCCTTTCAATGTTTTGACTTGCACAGCACATAAACCATTTCATCTACATTATATTAACATGCATCTTTCAAACAGGAATCTACTAAGAAGAGGACTCCAAGTGAAAAGGCCTACTTACACAATTTGGTCAAAATTCACACCTCTCGGATGTGTTTTCAAAACTTTTTGATAAGTTTACTAAGATTTGACAACACAATTAGGTCATATAAATGCTGAAGACTTGATGTAGGTTGTTGGCGGGTGCTCTGGTGCAATCTGCTCTTTCTCGCTTATCAAACATCTATTGAAGTTATCTCTCCTCATTTTCATTGTGTGTTACTCTCTGGTAGTAACACCTCTAATCGTCGACACTTACAAGACCTAATTGTGCTGCAGATGCCGTAAAACTCTTGCAATTAAGACAAAAGAAGATAAGAGGCGTTACTAGAGACTATTATAATAATAAACATTCAGAGAAATGGAGTAGAGATAAGAAGGAGAGATGTTTGATTTGAAAGGTCAGGAGCAAACCACACCACAATGCCCAACAACAACCTTCATTGTCAAAACACATGTGATAATTAACTTTTGGCTTGCAGTTACGAGCCTACTTTTTTTGGCAGCGTGATTCCTACATCCATGCGTCCCACTTTACGTCAGGTGTCCTGAACTCCGAATGTTCTCAGCCCATATTGTAACACACACACACACACACACACACACACACACACACACACATCTCTTCACATGTTTTACTGACCGATATTTGTTTAGTCTGAACGCATATAATCGTTTTTGTGTTTGCAATTTGCAGTTTGTAGCCACCGTGAGACCATCAGATAATACACAAAACTAAGAACAGATATTGAGATACCAAGAAGAAAAATCTTAACTTTAAAAGTTCAAGTGGCCCTTTATTGACGCACATCAAATCAATTCTTCACCTCGCACAAGGACATGTTAGGGTTGAAACTTTAAGAAGTTTGGTTGTTGTCTTTCTAATTAATCCTGCTATTATTATTCTAAGATGTGAATTGCCATAGCCACGGGCAACATTTTTCAATGTACGGAATAATTAATAGGCGCATGTCCTGGGGGGGGGAAAAAGACAGCTACGACCACAGAATTCTACACCACAGAATTCTACACTTAGTGTAGAATTCTGTGGCTACGACACATCTTCAGAACACAACGGCGACACCACTACCAACCACAGTGACGGTGGGAACTGAGAACAAAAGAGGCCTCTCTTCGAGCCTGAGCACTGTCCAACACGTTTAACACACAACAGAGAAATACGTAAAACAAACAGCTGATCACACTAGAGGAGCCCCCGTGTTTTTATCACCCGCAACGGCAACAACAACAACAACAGCTTTCACAGAAATTTAACTCTTACTAACCGACGGCGTTCGACATCACTCAATTATTTAGTTACTTTAAAAAAAAACAACCAACGAAACCCCAGCAAATCAATCATATTTACGATCAAACTGTAGTTTTAGTAAGTGTTTTACGGCACTTGCAACACAATAAGGTTACGTAAGTGCCGAAGATTAGAGGTCTTACGAGAGAGTAACAACCACAAAAAGAAGGATGGGGAGATAAAGGTGATAGCCTAGATGTTTGATAGGAAAGAAGGAGCAGTTTACGGTTGTATACAGATTGGACCATTCACTTCTAATAAGTTCTAATCAGTTTGGTGCTTATTTTATACCCAAAAAAACAAATAGGTTAACTAGGAGCGGAGTTACAACTAAGTTTGTGAAGCTGAAAGATAAGATGACAAAAGTGGCTGCGTTCAATAAACAGAGAAAAAAAAGCCTCCGTTTTGTTTTAATAAGCGTTTTACGGAGCTTGCAACTGCAAGGTCATGGGGACGCGCCGGACACATCAAACATTTATTCAGTTTGTTGGGAATTAATTTTGAATTTTGTCCGGTAGGCGGCCAAAGTCTTCTCTCATCGATTTTGGACCACAAAGGGATATTTAACGTGTGCAACTTGCACAGGACCCCCGAGACCTTTCGCGCTTATAATAAATACGAGAAGGCTAGGGGTTAGATCTTACCTACCTAAAGATCTGGGGTGTGGCTGAAAGACAGCAGTAAGAAGGAGACAAAATGGAGAGTACCTGTAAAAAGGCTGCCGAAAGAGTCAGGAGCCCAGAGAACAGGGCAAAGGAGGTGAGGGTGTGGGGGCAGAAAGTGGAGACGGAAACAGACGACAGAAAATGGTTAGAGAGCAGAAGGAGGTAAAAGGAGAACATTTAAGAGAAGAAAAGTTTCCCCCGTCGTTGTCAGGTTTTGAACCGGGGACCTACTGAATGAGTGGCAAACACCATAACCTCTAGACCACCAGAGCCCCCGAAAAAGAATCCATACACTAAGAGTTAACCAGACATCAGGTGACAGCAACACCTGCTACATATTCAAGGATTGATCAGACTGCTTGAAATAAAGCACGGCGCAACAATAGGCCGACATGTATGTACTAACCTACATACACAGTTCACTTTTTACTTCACCATCTACAGTCAAAATTGTCTAATTTGTTGAGGAGAAAAGTGGCCGTCTTAGACAGGTGGAAGGCTAATACTGTGCCATCATAGAGGACAAAAAAATTGCAAGAGGAGAAATAGGTTGAAGACGTCACCCTCCTCACCCCCCTTACCTCCTAAAGGAAAGAAGGCACCAGAAAAACAAAATGAAATCTCAAACAACCAATACCCTTCCCCAAAATGAAGAAAACACAAAACTAACAGAACAGAAAAATACTGTTAAAATGAGAGAATCAAAGCTTTTAAACCAAGGTACTACTTAGAAACTTGTCAACTTGAGCCTCTACAAAAGTAGAAAAAAGCAGCCATGAGAAGATAGAGGCAATGGGCTGTGATAGATGTATACGCTTACTTAAATCATTGTCAACAGCCAATACTACACATGTTGTGGTGAATGTTAAATTTTGTTTACAGATAGTTAGCAAAAAAAAGTCCACATTTAACTGGGAACTGATAAGGACAGTAAAGTAGTAACAAAGGCACTGATAAGCAGCAGTAGTAGTAATGTAAAGCACAACAGAGCATCCACACACAGTAACGTTTGATAAGATTTTTCAAAAACCCTGATAACAAAAAAAATGACCTACATATTAAGGCGGGAACATAAACAAAATCACCACCAAAAAAAAAATAACATTAACATGCTCTCAGTGTCAACTCATTATAGACAGAAATGCTGAAACAAAGAGCAAGAGAAAATACAACAGCCCCGGCATGTCAAACACCTGTTTCAGGCTTAATCGGCCGTCCTAACAAAGGAATATTTCAAGTAAGCAAGACTAAATAATAAATAGTCACGCGACTTCATGATCAGTCCTCAGTGGAATTTACCTAAGAAACAACTGCTCATATAATTTTCAACAAAGAGACTTTCTTTTCAATGATTCACAACGTTTCTTGAACTCTACATGCAAGTTTAAATTCATAATAATCCTTGAAATACCAACAAAAGACAGGAATGGAGTTCAAAGAAATAATTTTATACCAGGTGCCTGTGCATATATCCTAATGAATTGATTCAAAAAGAAGGCTTTAAAATACAAGCCACTCTTCATAAGGAACAGACAAGGACAATAGTAACATTGAGAAAACAAGGAGCGGACCACATGAGACCACTGTCCAGCTACCCTTGTTCAAGGCTGCTGAAGCTACTGTCCTTGTGGAACTTTCATTGCTTAGTGAGTAAGAGGTGATTCAGTTTAACGTCACTATCAATACTATTAGTTTATCTAACAGACGAAACATCCGAATTTAACATACATCTCTGAAAAGACCAAGCCAAAAATGTGTTGAGAGCCTTGAAAACTCCACAAAACTACCTGAATTCAGGAACGCCCAGTCTGGGATTAGAACCAGGGCCATCCGCTACATACTGAAGGAGCTAACAGGGCATCCTTTTCATTAGTTGAGCTTTCAAGGATGAACACTTGATGTCAGCAAGTTCTCATTCTGGGGGAGTTCAAAGACTTTAATTGATACCATCTACTTATTCTTTGGAATATTTTTTCTAAGCCTTACCTTCTCGAAATACTGTCTGACTTTTTCCTCTGAAAATTGACCTGGTTTGAGCTCCTTTGGCTGTTCAGGCATGGCATTAATGTTGAACACATCCGGGTGTGCTTTGTCACTGGAACCTGGGAATGTCTTCTTTGCTTTCTTTGCTGGGGGACTCATTTTTTACTGTCAAAGAAAGAAAAAAAACCCAAACAACTAAAATAAAAAAGCAACGTAAAAAGGATTTCGGTAAACTTCACAAGAGGGAGAAATCTCTCTTTCCACACACACACACACACACACACACACACACACACACACACACACACACACACACACACACACACACACACACACACGCACACACGCGCAGACACACAAACACACACACAGGTATTAAGCTCTGATCTACAGATTTTCTTACAAGTATTACTCTCTACTTGTGTCAAATTTCAAACATATCCCTCTACCTTTCTTACCTTTCCCTGAAATGTTGCCCTTGTCCATTCTCTGACCCTCTGACCCCAGGGGATTCCCCTCTCACTCTTACTGTGAGACAAGGGTGTAGTGACCCCTGACACAGGTGTCTAAGTACAGTACAGTTAATTACAACTGAATCTAAATGGAATACCTTCATTTTCCCCCACGGTGCTGTGCCCGAGCATACAACTCAAAAGAGTCCGGATACAAGGGCACCATGTAAAACTTGACTGGATAGCATTAAAGAGGTCATCCAAAAGAATAACATCAACAACTGAAGCCACCCAACTCACCCTTGGCCAAAAATTGTACATGTATCCCCTCGACACCTAACGATACAATAGGAAGGATTATAAAGTAAACTGAGTAAAGCTGTGCTGTACCTATCCTCCCAACTTATTTGGCCATCTAAACATGCCATTTAAAATTTTTAAAAGGTACTGTTACATAAAGAAATAATCTGAGACAAATTCACCATTTACCATCAGAGTACTGGAATCCTCAATTTGAAAGAAGACTCTGTTCTCTGTTCTTGGAGTGCTAAAATTTTGGGCATAAAATGATGACATAGTGAATTATACTTAACTATAATACCTCTCACCCCCCCCCCCCCCCCCACCCCAATGAAACTACATTTGCCTCAGTCAGTAGGTGTTAAGTTTAGAGCATAGAGTACAAGACAAATTGGATTCAGTTGGAATATCATCACCATGTCCAGAAGAAATGTACACAAATTTATATCATATTCACATGAACATCAGAATGGGTTTGTCAAAATCTTTTTTAAAGGCACGATTTTCTTTGAGATTCAGTTTCTGGTTTTTATAAATTGAATAAATGGTAAAGTATCCTACTTTTAACAAAAGAGAAATAAAATTTGTACAACATAACGTTCAGTCTTCTTCTTCTTCTCGATCGCATCACACTTGAAGTCTGGTATCTGTCATAAATTGGGCCGTCCTGCTCAGTTCATCTGTCGGCCCGTATAGCTTCTCTTGTAGCATCAGTGGGGTTGGCCACGTTTCCTGTCTCAGGGCCCTGTGTGTCTTGCAATGCTGAAGGATGTGTTCAACAATTTGGTCCGCCTCTCCACACTGGCATTTTGGTGATTGCACTAGTTTAAAACATTTGTATGTTGTCTCAGTCTTGTGTGTTGTGTCCTTAGTCTGAAGATAATCCCTTGTTCTTGGCGGGACAGCTCAAGGTAGCCATCTGGTGTCTGAGGTATTTTAAATAGTGTATTTATAATAGTTTTTATTTCTGTGTAGTTGACGCTGTTGTCTGGTTGCTCTTTCTGTGTTCCTAGTTTGACCATCCTGTCTGCCTGCTCATTTCCTAAGACACCACAGTGTGATGGAATCCACTGCAGCATGATCCTCAGACATGGGATGTCCTCAATTTTATAACTTTCAGTAAAATAAAGAAGAATTAGAATCTATAGTGCTATACTGAGCATACTCAAGTACTCATTCTTCGTGGGTGGCATCCTGTGCGAGTCATTCAGGATCATAATCGCCAGAGCCCGGAGCTATACAATATAATTTTACTTAAGTAGTCCGTACTAATAGTGTTGTATCAGTATCATAGCAATTAGTGCTCTCTTGATTAATAAAAAAGGTGTGCAGTGTAAATGCAGCACTTTCACTGCCAGGATTTTTTGTTCCCCCACCCCTCCCCTACACACACCTCTCCTCCCATGTTACTTCGATATTATATCACCATGTCATGCTGTTCATTTGTATTCCCCTTGCTGCCCTTAGAATTAGAACAAAAGATAATTTTATGGGAGCTATTAAAGAGTTAAAAGAAAAGCTAATCAATTATTTTTGAAAAGTAAACCAAATATTTATTCACTGAAAATGTTCTTTTGCAATGAAGACTGACAGAGAACTCAGTGCTTTTAAAATTCCTCGAACTCTAACAAAAGTAGGCTAAGTCAGTCATGCGTGTCAGCCAAATATCAGGTGCCCATTGCAGATGGGATCGGGTCGATCGCCCGACTCGTCTTCTAATTTTAAGACGATGAGTTGGGTGCAATCAGCTTGTGCCACAATAGCCACTTTGTGCCCTCAATTTGGCAAGCAAACCAACCCGACCCGACCTCCTGGCCCTATGGGCACCCTGAATAAGGATGCATGTGCTTATAAATATATAAAAATAATGGAATCACTTTGAGGAGTAGCCTACATTGAATTAAAAATGAGAATTTAATGCAACATCATGACATGGGTAGAAGAAGTAGAATCTAGCGCTGTATGAGAACCTTAATTTTAAAAAGTAGGTAATCTTTAAATTACAACTTAGTAGGCCTACTTAGTCTATAGATATCTAGATATCTAATCTAGATCTAATATATCTAGATCTAGAGTTTCTGTCCTCTCATTCCTAAAAATATTGTGCTTGTACTAATAGCCTGAAGGAAGAGGCTATCCGTACTTAATGACGGCTAGACTGCTAGGCTAGCCGCACTAAACCGTACTAGATCTAGATCTAGATCTAGATCTAATCTAGATCTAGCACGGCTAGACAGCTGGGCTAGCTGTATTATAATATTCTTTTACGGAAGCCTATTCTTAAATATAAAAAGGCCTACTCTGAATTGTAAATAAATTTTTAGTTTGCAGTACCTAAAGTAGATCTATTTGTATTTGAGACGAAACCAGGAGCCTTAATGACAGTGCATGTATTAAACCTCCGGTTTTCTTATGTTAATAGGGCCTAAGATAAGTAGGCCTACGGCTAGCTTTTATTTGAACTGTACTCTTACTGCCCGTTTTGACCGGTCAACACTCAGGACCCACCTGTTTGTGCAGTTCTTGGAGTTGTTGTAGTAGGCCTAGTGAAGTTACACACAGAATTGAGGAGTAGGCCTTCGTGAAAACGACGTAGCCGAAGACGCCTAGATCTAGATCTAGATCTAGAGATCTAGATTCTAGTTGTCTTCCACACTTCTCTCTATGGAAACAAGACTAGAATCTAGACTTAGCTAGTGTGTGTTGTCAATGACAAGACAAAGAGTACCGGTAAAAGCAACGTTTTCAACAGTAATCACGCGAACACACGGTGTCCTGTGGAAATCATGTACATACGTACAACCTGCAGCACAATTTCGAAACTATAGATTTAGATTCTAGAGGTCTTGGTCTTACTAAGCTGCTTGGTCTTGGTCCATAATTTGCTGGCTGCTAGATCTAGGCCTGGGCTTACTACTACAAGCTGGACTACGCTCACTACACACAATGTCAAGGTCAGGGGTCAGATTGCCTTTTCCAGTTTTCTTCCATTCTACTGATTCTAGGCTACCGAAGAATAAACACGGCTGAGATCAACTGGTTATTACCACTGTTCTTCCATTATTTTGTACATTTTAATTTATCTTTTACACTGGTATTGATAGTTTCGCGGTAACCTTTGACATGCAAAAGAAAAAGCTTATCATGTTGTGCAGTTGTTGAGAGAGAGAGAGAGAGAGAGAGAGAGAGAGAGAGAGAGAGAGAGAGAGAG